AGAATAGTTTCAAAATAATAGTCGATAGAAATAAATAATTTTCGAGACAAAGTTCGAAGTTTAGTTTTTCGAACTAAAAACTTTCATGAATTATTCAAATGACAATATTAAAGAAGTTCTTCCTGAAATAAATATATTCTATCTATTCATTTAGCAAATGTTCGAACGAAATAAAAATGTCATATGTTTATAATTATGATGAAAACCAAAACAAAATTAAAAATTATGGATATAAAAAAATTTGAATAAAAAAGAAGGTAAAGGACATATCAATATTGGTTAAAGATAGTCTTTGCTTAGTTCTTCATGAAACTTGAAGAAATCAGAAAACAGAATCCTATCATCGGCACTCCAAACTTATTTCTAAAACCACACTAGAACCACATCCTTGAATTATCTCTTCCAATAGCGAATAAAGAAATTCTGGCTTATCAATTTAATTTTAGGTTTAAATAATTTTATTATCTGATAATACTTTTTTTATAAATTTTTTTTGTGCAATCTGCAAATTTTTATATTTTATATTTTTAAAATATTCTATATTTTTAATATTATTTTTATAAAAAATATTTTTATATTTTTATGTAATATTTTTATAAATTATAAATTATGAATATTTTCTATGTTTTATGATGTAAAATATTTTTTTATAACAAATAATTTATTCAGAAATTTATAATTTATATATTAATAATTTATAGCAAATAATTTTCTTCTGATAGTTCCGTTTCAGCTAGAACGACTAATCAGTCAGAGAATTGATATACGAATGTAGAAGCTGCTATCGTTGCCATCCGGAAATCATTAATTGCAATAATTCTGCTTACTTCCTGCTCTTTCAAAGTATTATCATTAATTATCTAATTATTACGTTATAATATTCATATTTACATAAATTTTTAATAAATTTTTAGCAGTAATAAATATCAAAGGCAAGGAAAGGACGATAGATGAGTCAATTGGTTACAGAGAGGTGAATCGTATTCCGCAATTCCGATGCTGGAATTCTAATAGAATAAAAAAAATTAAACCTGTTTGCAAAAATTCTAAGGATGATAGCGAATTCTTATTTATGCTTCTATGGTGATACCGAGTGATGATAACGTCTCGGCGAAATCTCTCTACTTCAACAGAAATAATATTAAAAATATGGAATAACTTTAATCAGAAGTGATCAAAAGTGATTAATTTTTTTTAAAAAATGATAATCAAACATCTTTATAATAAAGCGGGTGAAATAACAATTGCGCAACATTTAAATCTCTTTACTTGGCCTGCCAGTAAAAGGAAAAAAAATTAGCAAAAATGGCATAATTTTCAAATTCCATAAAATATTTCTTTATAATATATATTTTTTATTGCAATATTGCTTTTGCTAGTTATAATATTATAAATATTCCTATTGTAATATCTATTAAAATTTATTAAATTTATTATTTTCCCTGATGAATCTCGCTCCACTCGTCATGAGAGAGTTACAATGTAAATATAGATCTCTTTCGAGAATTAGCAAGCGAATTTTTGATAAATGATAAGCTGCCGAGGACTGCTGAGATTCGAGCTACGATGTTCGATACGATAATATATCGTATCATATAAGCATTTGATAACTCATTTCCACTTTTTTTATACTCTTAGAGATCAATGAACATTGCGATGTTTTCGAAAAAAGGAAAGGAAATTTTAGTAATTTCTAATTGCCTAAAATCGATCGAGGAAAAATCTATAGAAACAATAAACTTATCGAATTTTAAATTTTGAATTTCCCATTGGCCGATAACTAATTTAAATAATATTAATCCATATATAATAAATTATCTATTTAAAAATAACAAAACAATAGTAGCAATAAAAACAATTAATTGAGAATATTGGAAATGAATGTAATTATACGAAAATGGACAGCGTTCTTCATCTTTAACATTGCCATATTTTTTATGCAGAAAATTCAACTTAAATTAAAATTGTAATTAGAAAAAATATAAAATATAATTTGGCTATTAAAATTATATCGGAAATATTAATAATATAATAAATAATAAATTTTGGAAAAAATTTCTAAAATTTTGTAAAATGAATATAAAATACAAATAATTCGATTTGTTTTATTCAAAAAATTCTCATATCTTAACGTTCCTCTCAACGTTTAACTAACGCGTAAACGTGAAATCGGCAAATATTCAGACGCAATTCGACGCTTCAAATGCTTATTGAATTCCAATGATTCTTGTCTATTGCAGTTTATTTTTATACAATATATTTACTGAATATCCGTTTAATTTAATTGTTTAAATAATATTAATGAATAAATTAATGAAAACAATGTCTAAAAAAATTAAATTAAAATAAATAAGCAGAAAAACAGAAAAAAATTCTTAAATATTTTTCGTTTTTTTTTGAAAATTAACCAAATACATTAAAGTTTATTGGAAAACTTTTTATGAATAAAAACTTCACTATATAAAAATATAATAAATGAATAAACTTTATTACTTCGGTGTTCATAATTTTTTCATAATATTTGTTTTCAGAAAATTAATAAAGATAAATAAATTCAGAAAATAAATTATTCAAATATTTAAATATGTCATCAAATATATTACCATTTTAATGAAAAATAAAATTTTTTTATTGTTTTGAATAATTAAATTCAAAAATATCTATTCAATTTGGATTTTTATTGCAATTCAAATTATGTAAATATTTTAAGCGTTAATTAATTTAATTTTTATAAAATATTTAGAAATTTAAATAAATATTTATAAATTATAAATTAGCACTAAATAAACATTAATTGAAATTAAAAATTAAATGAACAAATTGTTAAAGTATCGCTTAAAAATTCAAAAAATAAGACAAAATATAAAAATATAAAAAAATACAAAAATAGTAGTAAAAATAATGGTAAAAAAAATATAAAAATACTTTTAAAAAATAAAAAGTGATTAGTTAAAATTCTGAAATAATAATTGAAAGCAAAATCGAAATTTTATATACAAAATTACCACTTTTTTTTAATACTTCTGATTAAGATATAAAATTAAATTAAATAAATTTAAATAAACTAATTGTGACCGATTATATTTCATTTCACTTAAGAATATTCATATACATCGACAATTAATTATGGTAAAACATGAATTTTTAAAATTTGATAAAATTTGATTTTTTTACTTATAAAATAAATGGAACGAATAAAACGAATATATTTTTAATGTTAATATTTAATATTTTTTAATATTTCCAAATATAAAATTAGTCAATCGAATAAAAATAAAATAAATTTTTTATAAATTTTTTTTATTTTTATTTCATTTTTATAATAATTTTTAATTAATTCATTACAATGAATTTCAATAAATATTTCAAAATTATCTTAAATTAAATTAGAGAATGATAGATAAATTAATGAATGGAACTTTATTTCCTTACGAATATTATTATTAGTTTATTGAAAAACTTTTTATGAATAATAAAAATTGCATTTAATGAATTATAATTAAAATTTGTATTTTAATGTTTGCTTCGAATATTGCTAATTACTATTACTTTTTTTCTTATTATCTTTAATAATTATTATTTCATATAATAATAATTAGATTGGTCGAAATAATTTCTAATTTGCAATAAATAAAAAATAAAATTGCAGAAGAATATAGAGAATTTTTCAAAATAATGCATTTCTCTTTTTCGAAAAAACACTCGTTTTTCAAATATCTTTTAAAATTTTATTCTCTACAAAGATGAATTAACAGTGATAAGAATTGATATATACGCAAATATTTATGAGTAGTCAATAAATTTTAAATAAACATGCAATCGATGAAATATTTAATATATATGATTAATATAAATATTTTTAGCGGAAAAAAATATTTTCATTTGATCTCGAAAAATTAAAATAAAGAAATCGTTTAAATTGTTGAAATTTTTAAATAACATTGAGAGGAAAAAAAATTTTTTTCCCTTTTACGATGAATGAATTCCACTAAAATAGAAATTGAAAAATGATGAATGACTTTTTAAAAGGAGTGAAAGAGGAGCTCTCTTTCTTCTCAATAAATCTTATTTATCAAAAATATTTTTATATTTCTTTTTTTCATTTTTACTTTATTTTAATTTGATCAGACAAGTTTGTAGTACAGAAAATAAATGCGCAGACACCAGAGGTGAAACTTTATCCTTCGCTTCGTCCTCTTCGTCGTTTTAAGATTTTCGAGGAATGTTTGGCACCTTAAATAATTTTATAGCGTATAAGAGTCAAATTTCGCTTTTATTTATATTAATTTTAAGGTTTCAGTTTTCGCTATAATTATCGAGATTCGCTCTTATTTCTTTTAATAATATAGCAACTGCTAATGAAAATGACAACGCCTCTCTCTCCCCCCTCCCCCTTCCCATTACTACCTCGAGTTTCTATAATTCTACGACTTGGACTGATTTATATACCAAATCCATGCCAACAACCGGTATCTTTGCATTGATTGACAGCTTTAATATTGGATAATTTCTGCTTTCAATAATCACTGATTAATATCACAAATAATTGATTATGAAGAGAAGCAATTTCACATATTTCATTTTATATATTTTTATTTTTTATATTTTCGTCTTTAAAACAACCGAATTTCTGATAGTTTTTAAAAATAATAATTTCCTTCGTTCCTTCTTCATTTTCTATTACTTCCTTTTATTATTAAAATAACGAAAACAATAATGACCGATTGAAACTCTTTAATAATTACACAATTAATTTCCGAATTTTTGCAAAGTTTAAATTTAAATTTAAACTCTGCTAACAAAATATTTAAAAATGATGTTGCAAATTCGTGAGCACTGGCAAAGACAATGGGAAATATAATTATTTCATCTAAATAATTTTATTATAAATAATCACATTTTGATCCTTTAAAACTAAAGAAAATAACTATTATTACAATTTTAAAAAATATTTATAGAAAGAGTTATTTAATCTGATTGAAGGCAAATAGCAAAGCATTTTATTCAGGTGGAACAAGTTCTTTGGGTACCCATGGATGAACATATCTTCCCTTCATATGCTCAGCACTTTTTTGATATTTTTCACGTTGTTTTTCTAATGACAGTGATGTGAATCCTTGATAATCGTCATGCCCTATTTCATAAGCACGATCGATCTTTTTTCTTACTGGATCATCGATATCAAATATAGATGTATCCCAAAAGAACGCATGTTCAGAGAAGCGGTAATCCCGGGCTTTCGTTGGAAAGAATTCAGGAAAGTGATCTCTTGACATATGTTCAACTGGTGGAGCGCGAGCAAATTTCTCTTCAGTCTAAAAATTAAACTAATTAACTAGTTGAAAAGAACTGTTTTCTTTTTAATTGTCAATTTCCAACAATAATAATCCAAAAAATATTTGAAGAGATTAAAGATTAAGAAGTAATTCCCACAACTTTTATGAAATGCTGTACAATATATATGCAATTTTATTCCCAAACTATTTTTCAAGTCAAATTTTCCACTCCCTTTAAAAAAAATATTTTTGCTTATATTCCCTATTATTTTCTTAAATATTATTTTTCTATAAATCTTTATTATTTATAAAAAATATTCATGAATTAAGTTTTAAAGCTTAGAAAATAACCAAAACTTATAACATGAAAGATTTATAGAAAAATCATAATTTCCTACTGCACAATATAAATTAAATTAAATTTACCTCTTTGATTTTTTCATTTGTATATTGCGCCCACAAATTAAAAAAATCCATTCGTGCTTCATGGTATGATTGATATTCTTTTGCATCCTTAATTATTCAATGGACTAAGAAATTGGTTTTATTATTCTCAAATTTAAAAAAAAAATGGTTCGAAAAAAATGACAAAGAAATGATAAAACAGATAGTGATAAAGAAATGATAAAACAAGTATTTTAGATCCTTATACTATTTCTAAAATATCTCATTAAAATATAAAAAATACTTACAATGAAAAATTAAAATCAAACTGACTAACATTTTTGAATTGTTCCGGAATCGCTCCATATGGTATCGAAATTGATTCATATTGTTTCTGTAACATATCCAGTGTAGCAGCATGTTCCGGCATTTCTTTCTTTAATTCAGCGAAATTATATTTTGTTAAATCAGCGGGTTTTGATACAACAGTTGCCCAATATTGACCGTGCTGTTTCTGTAATATATTCATGTGATACCATTAGTCAACATTTTTTTCATTAATATAAAGCTATATAAATGACAAGGAAAGAGAGTAATATACAAGAATTAGATTAATGTCCTGTGGAAATGAATTTGAAGGGGACAGGTGACTGATAAGAATCCACCGGTATTTCCATCACCAAGTGAGAATCTACTAGAAGGTTTTCACTTCTCGCGAAAATAGCTAAAGAAAAATTATATATGAAGGATTTTTTGAAATTCTAATGAAGAGTAATGAATTTTCAGTTTTATCTAAATAAATTGCAAAAAAAAGAGAAAATTTAATAAATAAACAAAAAATAACAAACGAAAAAATACCGCTAAAACATCAAGTTCCTTAGCAAATCGATTGTGCATTCGTTCGCTAAGCTTTGCCCAGTTAATCGTCGACTTCGAAAATCGTTTTAATGCCGACATTTTTACAGTTTTAACCTAAAATATTTAAGAAATTTATTATGAAAAATTTGAAAAAATTGAGAAAATCCTCAAATCGACGAGAGAAAATAAATAAAAATATTAAAAAATAATTAAATAACAGAGGAATAATAGATACATAAAAAGAGAGATACATAAAAGAAGGGGGAGAGGGGGGAGAATGCCTCAGGCGGGGCCACTGCTTTCATTTCGGAGTACCGATGCTAAGGGGTTTTTGCGAGTGGCATAAATCTGGGCGATGTTGGCGATGCATCATCTGCACTTCTCTCGCCAAATATTACTTCCCTGACAAAAAGTGATGAACGCAATTTAAATAAATTTCTATTCCGCTAAAATTCAAAAACTCCCCGTCCTCACATCCCTTTCTTAGATTTGTGCAGCAAAGCAAAATATAAAATCACCCCCTCCACGATATTTTATTACACTGATTGCATATGGTCGTACGAATTTTAGAGATTGATAAATTACTAACAGTTCGTAGCAGAACAATGCTAAATCTCAGCTCAGACGATGTTTCCGAGTTTTTGGGCGCTTTCTGGTGACTTCTATAGTAATGATTTTATTTTAAACTTGCTGAAACTGGGTGATTTTTTGGGGCTATTCCGCTAAAGTGTTTATAAGTTCATTTCAAATATTAAAATAATAATAAATAAATAAAATATTGTTGATTATTATTAAAATATTATTAATTATTTGTTACGTACGACTGCTAATCTAATTGTTTAAAAAATTGTAAATTTAAATATTTCGCTGGAAGGGAAGATTTTTTTAAACTTTTATTTGAAATATTTCTTAAAGATTTTTTGTTTAAAGTAATCAACAAATTAATTAATTAATCGAATTTCTTTTTTTTATTAATATTTATTAATTAAATGAATTTAAAAAATTCTATTCATTATTGCATGAATTGTAAAGAAATTTTTCTAAATGAAATGTGAAAAAATGTTTTTTGCAAATCTATTTTTTTACTCAAAAATAATAAAATTTTAAAGTTTCGCTTATATATTTAATTGGGAAATTTTTGAAATTTTTCATAATTTTTTGATATTTCGCTAAAATATGTGCAATTTTGCAATTAAATATTACTCTCCGCTCTTTTTTCAGCTAAATGGCGTCGCTATTATGTTTAAATCCAAAAGCTGAATTGGCTCGTCACGCCGCTGCACTCGAATTAAATATTAGTGGTGCAAAAGGCTTGCAAGATGTTATGCGTACAAATCTTGGCCCTAAGGGAACTATGAAAATGTTTATTTTTATTTCATTCATTTTGCCTTTTTTTAATTTGCTTTCTATTTGACTTTATAAATTATTTAATTTTTATTGATTTTTTCTTTGTAAAATTTAATCGAAAACTATAATTTATTTTTTATAATTATAATTTATTCATATTCATATTTATAAATTAATTGATATGCTAAATAATATATGAATTACATATTATTTGTTTTATGTTGTTTATTTTTTATTTAAAAGAGAAAACAAGCAGAGCTATAGCAAAATGCTTTTTTTATTTTAATAATAGTAGTTAATAATAGTTTATTAATAGCTAATACAAGGCTAATAAAAAGGGAGCCATACAAAATAGGAATAACCATTCATAGTAAAAAAATGAATATAAATATAAATAAATAGATGAACATAGGAAATAAAGAAAAGATGCCAAATTTATTAGACCATAGTGGATTCACAATAGATGTTTGCTAAATAGTAATAAATTAATATTATAATTATTTAGTTTTTCAATTTATCCAAAATAAAATTTTTCATTTTTATATCTGTTAAATTTTTATTTAAATATTAAATATTTTAGCCAAAACGCGTGAAATGTTAAGAAATTTATGAGATTTGCTTATGGGTTTTTTAGGTTTTTTAGGTTTTTTTTTTTAAATTTCCTTTTAAGGTGAGGTGGAATAATGCCTTTCTGCCTTTCCTATTCTGCCCATATTTCATGAAAGTACAAATGTAACATTATTTATGTATTTATGCCTATGCTTTTATTATCTGTGCTTTTAACTTTTGAAATATTATTTTTCCATTGGGTAAAATATAAATCATTCTGTAGAATATTGGTAGCTCTATCTCTTGCAGAATATTTAGCAGGATTATCTACTAGTATAAAGTTTCTTGTAATATTTCTTAAATTACAGGCTTGTTTCTGGATCTGGCGATATTAAATTGACAAAAGATGGTAATATCCTTCTCCATGAAATGGTAAATATTCATCAACAATATTATGCTTACACTAGCAGAAAAATCGAATTTTATCTATTTTTGTGATCATTTAATCTTCCATGATTTTAGTGGATCTAAATTTTTCAATGAAAAAATCTTGGAGAGAGTGACTCCTTTGTTATTTCCAGCAAATTCAACATCCTACAGCTGCAATGATTGCGAAAGCTACAACAGCACAAGATGATGTTACTGGTGATGGGACTACTTCTACTGTTTTATTAGTCGGTGAACTTCTGAAATACGCTGAATTATTTGTTAACGAAGTTCGTTTGTAGCAATTTTTGCTCTTCATTGTTGATTCCACTGTTTGTCTTCGTAAAATCTTCTTTGGAAATCTTCTTTTAGGGTGTGCATCCTCGATTGATCACGGACGGTTTCGAAATAGCGAATGCCAAAACATTGGAATTTCTTGAATCCTTTAAGCAGTCTGTCAAAATGGAACGGCCTTTACTTATAGAGGCAATGATTATATGTTTTATTCGTTATTATCATATGTTTTCGCCTTTTTTAATCGTACAAAATTATTTTATTCGTTAAGATGGATTTTTTTTCCTCAAAACAATTAATTTGAACAATCTGAACTATAATTATGCTTTATTTATAATTTTAAGGTTGCAAGAACGGCTCTTCGTACGAAGCTAAATCAGAAATTAGCGGATCATATTACTGAATGTGTTGTTGACGCTGTTCTAGCAATTCGTCAAGGTGATGATCTAAAGCCGGATTTGCACATGATTGAGATACAAGTATATTTTTCTTATTTATACTTGAAAAATTTTAAAATTTCCTGAATATTTGAAAATTTTTGAAATAAATAATTATTTTTGTGCTAAAGGTCATGCAGCATGAAACTGACATGGATACGAAATTGATTCGTGGAATAGTTTTGGATCATGGCGGCCGACATCCAGATATGCCAAAGAATGTGGAAAATGCTTATATTCTAACATGTAATGTGTCTCTTGAATATGAAAAAACGTAATTTTTTTTCATGTATAAATATCGAAATTTTATGCTTTTTAAAAATTTTAAAAACATGTAATTATTTTCAAATTGTTAGTGGCCGTATTATTAATCTTAAGTTATTATTGAAACTTGTTTTTAGTGAAGTAAATGCTGGATTTTTCTATAAAACGGCGGCGGAAAGAGAACGTTTAGTTTCAGCTGAAAGAGAGCATATCATGAAAAGAGTACAGAAAATTGTCGATTTAAAAAAAATGGTTTGCGATGATGCTGAAAAAAAAGATGGGAAAAAACGAGGATTTGTTGTCATAAATCAAAAAGTTTATTTTTTTTATACCGCATTATATTTCGAGAAATTGGATTTGTTCGGAATTTCTATGAATTAGAATTTTGTTTTATTTGATTTCATTATGAAATTTTTAAGGGTATTGATCCTCCATCTTTGGATTTATTATGTCAACATGGTATATTGGCTCTCAGGCGTGCGAAACGTCGGAATATGGAGCGTCTACAATTGGCCGTTGGTGGTGAAGCAGTTAATTCTGTTGATGATTTAACTCCAGAAGCACTTGGCTTTGCTGGTTTAGTTTATGAGCATGTTTTGGTATGTTCATATCAGTTTATTGTTTATTAAATTTAATCTTGAAAAATATTTTCATTTTTAATTTTAGGGAGAAGATAAATTCACTTTCGTTGAAGAATGCAAAAATCCCAAATCGGTAACACTTTTATTAAAAGGGCCAAATAAGCATTCTATTACTCAAGTTAAAGATGCAATTCACGATGGTCTTCGAGCAGTTTATAACACTCTAGGAGATGGTACATTTTAAATCTCCATGTTCGCATACATTATTTATTGTATTTATCTATTTTTATTAATTTACGATTGACGACTGAATCTTCTTTATTTGGCTACGTGTTTATCGATAAGTTTAAAGGTAAATTAAATAATCGAATTATTTCCAATATGTTACAGGTGCAGTGGTGCCAGGTGCTGGAGCTTTTGAAGTGGCTGCACACTGTATGCTTAAGAAAGAAATTTATAATGTTAAAGGCCGCGTGAAACTTGGAATTCAAGTGCTTTTTTTATTAATTTTTTTAAATTTATTAAAAATTTATTAATTTCTTATACGTTACAAAAAAGTAGTACTTATAAAATATAAAATGTCTAATTTTATGAAATTTTTTGGGCGAATCTTTCTCTAATTATACCGAATCTTTCCAAATTTCAAATTGCAGGCTTATGCCGACGCGCTGCTTGTAATTCCAAAGACATTGGCAATAAATGCAGGTTTTGATGCGCAGGAAACAATTGTAAAGTTAATTGAAGAGCGAATGGAATCTCACGAATCTCTTCCTATTGGGTTGGACATAACAACTGGCGAAGCGATTAATCCTTTGGTATGTTTTACATTTTGCTAGATTTCTTCCTTTGAAATAAATTTTTAAATTTTTAAAATTATTATCGAATTTGAAATCCGTGGATAATAATCAAAAAAAATGTTGGCGAATAGAATGAATGGAGCTCTTTTGCGTTATGGTTATCATTTGTCGTTTTATTGCTTTCAAAATTCTTTTATCATAATTATCATTTATCAATCTATTATTTATTATTCTCCTAAGAAAGAACACGTTCCTTATTTAGAATAAATTTTTGGATATTATAGTCAAAATGTGGCATCGTCAGATTTTAAGAATTTTTTAGGGTATTTGGGATAATGTTATCGTTAAACGTAACAGTTTATCATCTTGCTGTGTCATTGCTTGCAATCTCCTCCACGTTGATGAAATTATACGAGCTGGTTTACCGAATCTTAAAGAAAGACAATAAAAATAATACATTTATCATAAAAATCTTTCACCAAAATATGTCGCTTAACAAAAGGAAGAACTTCATTTTGGTTATTATCGGTTGTTTTTTTAGATATTCAATGATTAAAATAATAAATATTAGGTGGTATTAAAATTCAACTTAAAAAATTGTTATATTTTAATAAAATCATATTTAAAGTTTAGTTCCCTTATTCTCTTCCTGTAAGACTTGATGTTCCTTTTTAAAATTTATATATTTTTTCCATTCTTCTAATCGTCTCAGATCCATCGAATTTTTTTTGTTGCGCATTTTCGCTTTTATTGTGCTTATTTGCTCGAAATGTTGGATTAAATTTTTCATTTATTTTTTTGATACCTTCATCTGGCATTATTTTCAGGGATTCTCAGAAATATAATTTTAGTATTTAGGCGATTTAGAAAAACTAACCAAGTTTTTTATCAATTTTATTTTGGACTGAAATTTGAACTGGAAACAGTTTAATTTTTAAGCGGTTTCTTCATTTACATTTTATTTAAAAACGAAAATTTAATTACAACATCTATGCAATTTTAAAAACGAATAACTAATATCACAATAAAGTAGGAATAGAAATGAAAAATTTTTGATATGTCTTGAATGCAATCGATTATCTTTGGATAGTGTGCAAAAAGGATTTTGGTACTTCGACGACTGATTGAAATATTAAACCATTTAAGTTTTCGAATCATATAGAATGATGGGCGACAGCTTCGTATTGTCGTAATTCCGTGAAATCTTTCATAGCGATATGTCCATTGCGATCGGACACCCATCGTCCATTCATTCCAGGAATACGACTTGTTGGTTTACCCCATGTCATTCCACGGAATAACAATACTTCATCTACTAAAAAAATTTTATAGTGAATAATGAATTCTGATTGCAAATATCGATAGGGTGAAATAAAATATCGAATATTACAGCGTAGAATTTTTAAAATCTATGGAAACTTTGGTTGAATATTTTAGATTTAAGAAAAATTGAAAAAAATAAGAGAAATTTAAAAAAAAGATGCGGTAATTGTCGTTCATTTTAGCTTTCGATGTTCTAAATAGATTTCTAATAGATTTTTTTTTAGATTTTTTTAAATTCGTTTAATTAGCAATGGTTAAATTATTGAAATAGTTTTAGTCCGAGCGATTTCTACTGAGGAATAAATTTTTATTACCGTCCGACCACATTGCATAAATGTGATCGGCTTCTCGAGTTGCATCGTTGTTTAAACTCTCTAGAAATGCAGAATAATTTTTTTGCTCGCATTCTCCATCTGGATAGGCACAAACTAACTGAAAATAATTAAATTTTCGTTCATTTATCTTAGTTTGCATTTTCAGGATTTTTTTTGAAAAGTCGTGCAAAGCGGTATTTTTCATGGAAATTGGAAAAATAAAGCAAAATTTATAAGTTACGACATATGGTGCTTATCCTTGTCTAATGAAGAAATGATTTTTTTATAAGGGAAAGATTAGCTCATTGCCATCCCGGAAAGTCCATGGTGGGATTCTATTTCAATATGATTTTTGAAGGATCGGTTATACTAAGTGATTTTCTGGTGAGGAATAAATATCTGATCCGTGACAAGTAAGTGGGGAGAGCATAACCGGAGACCCCTGGTGAGGGATCATTCATCAATCACAAAATAATTTTCATTTCTCAGTAGTTAATAAACTTAACTTAACGAATTAATGAAATCGAGAGGCATCATTTTAATATATTTCTTCTTATGATTATTGTTTAAAATCACCTACCTGGTCCTCGCATGTGTAACCTGGATAAAGTCCGTCTAATGAATTGCAAAATGCGGGTATTGTTTGTGCGAATTGGCAAATGCATAAGCCATAATTTGCACCAGCAATACCTAAAAACGTATCGATTCTGTGACCCAATGGTGCACCAAGATTACAGTTTCCATCAGTAGCAACCAATGTTCCACCTTTCAAAACCTTCCTAAATATTCTTCAAGTGAATATTTAATATATACCAAGTGACAATGGATGATAAAAGTGATAATAGCGTAGAAATTTTAAAAAAGCCAAATATAAACCTCATCAATGGTACTGCTAATGAATGGGCGATTACATCAATCTTTGGCGCTTGTGTATAATCCAGCACTGCACGAACGAATTTTCGCAAATATAATAAATTGCTACACGTATGCATAGTGCTATATGTACTTAAAACACTTCCACCTGCCCAAGTATCCCCCCATGTTGTTGCATATAATTCAGCTGTCGAATAATTTTGTTCCAAAAAATATTGAATCGATCGAGACCATCCGGTTGCAATTGGTGATTGTATATGAAGTGCTGCATCAGCATTACCATGTATAAATATTACCGGTTCATGATAAATCTTAATTTTAATTTATTTTTGCGCATTCTTATTCCATTATGAAGGTCATCTCAATTTTTTATTTCTTTCGATTTAGATGATAAAAGATAAGAAGATCGTCTTTTTTTTGATAAATTTTTCATATCGATGCAAAAGATGTCGAAAAAGACGATAATCGCCTTGATCGGTCAACCTATAGGCCTAAGGCCCAAGTTTCGATCCTTTAGATGTCCAACCTAAAATCAGCTAACTGTGAATGTCTATGTATGCGCCTTTTTTTCTTTAAGAGTCCTCACCATTACTGGTTAAACTCGCTCCACGGGCTTGTTGCATTGCCAGGGAGTCCCTTGGCGATAGAAATGCACGCGAGTCGCCAGCATTACCCGAATTTTTGTGCAAGTTTACTCCTACGGCGAATCGAACCTCAACACCGGCACTCCCAATTGAGCAACAACCCACTGAGCCATTCAGTCTCCTAATTTGCATGCTTATTTATATTTGTATATGTCTAGTCTAGCCTACCTATGTCTGGTCTCCTCATATCTGGTTTACCCATATTTGCTCTACCTATATCTGATCTACCCATGTCTGATCTATCCTGGTCTACCCATATTTGCACTTCTAAAATCATGCTGCCCACTGATAATCTTTTGTAATTACTGAAGTATTGAAAATAACCTAAATTCTTTTAAAGAAGAATTCAGTATAGACGTAGAAGACATAAAATAGTCGAAATAAAATAATATAAAGATATATGAATGAATAAATATCATAAATAAATTGAATTAAAATTATTATTTTTTGAATAATAAAATGTAACGCTAAAAAGTACTCGTTCATTTCTTCGTTGTCGACCACCAAAACTACCCGATGGTCCAATATCAGGTCGATCGAAATTCTGACTCTCATAACCATTAGCAATTAACCATTCAATAAAATCTTTTGTTAGCGGTCCGCGAGGTTTTATTTGAGACTTTACAGGGAAATAAAGTGTGAATAATATTAGAATACACCTGAAAGATTTTGAAAAAATTATCTTTTTAGCAAAAAAATAAAATTTATTTTATTGCAAATTAATTTAAATGAATTTTTTAGCGAATAATTTTAAATTTTATAAAATTTGTTAATTCTCTGTTAATGTACCTTTTCTATTCTTTTAATCTAAACAATAATTGAATAAATGAAGAAGAATTTTATCATTAATGATAAGTAAAATTAACAATATAATGAACTGTAAAGATGATTGATAATTATCAGTTATTTGTCGGGAAAAAAATGAAAGGGCGAACATACATGAAACATGTTGCCATATTTGAAAAGAACGACGAAAACTGCGTTTGTATCCTTTTAGAAAGACGAGATTCGATTATCAATGAATGAGGGGGGTGTACGATGAAAGTTTTAAAGAATCTTTGAAAATTTAAATGACCTAACAGGATTGACCCTTTAGATAGTCTCCGTATTCCATATTCGATTGTTCTTAATTATTTCTATTTCATTCCTGAATTTTTAATCGGAATTCCACTTTCTCTTTTTCGATATCATAAAATATTCTTTCGTTTACCTATATTGAGATATATATATATATCTATAAATGGAAAATAATGCCATAGTATTATTGAATCATATTAACTTTGAATAAAGGTAGCTAAATAGCTGACGACGAACAAGACAAGTTGCGGACAGTAGACCAATAATTATAAGGTAATTTTCTAGAGCAGTACGGAAAATAAAGCGATAGGGGTGAAAATTATGATTGAAAAATTCACGAGCTGGCGATCCACCCGTCCTACATTCTTTGCCAAATAACCCTCAGGTAAATTTTTCAACCACATTAAAAACCAACGAAACCAGAGATGGTGACTAGGAATTCTTCAATTTTCCAGAGAAAGCCTATGTGATTAGACCTGGAAAAACTATTAACATGAATCGAGGATAGCTCGGAATAAGGAAAAATTTTCAAGAAAATGAAATTTTTGCTATACTTTTTATGATTACAAAAAAATTCATTAATCCAATCGAGATAAATTTAAATAATTGAATTTTAAATCTTCTTTTTTTTTAGTGAAATTCAACTTTTTCTCCTAAAAAAAATTAGTCATTTAACCAGTTTTTTAATAAAATATTCATCTTAACGATAAAACTTGTCTTTTATAAAATATTTCATTCTATTGTTTCTCCAAAAATTTCATTTATCAACTTTTCATCATTTTCCACCTCATGTAAGCCTTTCATATTCCATTATCCTTTTCACAGTTCCTGACTAGTCCGACTGATTGGATTAGGTCATTTGAGGCTACCACAGAGGATAGAAGTGCACATGGATCTTCTAACATCATTTCGTTTTGCAGATGATAGACTTTGCAGATGCCTATCGAAAGATAGAAAAATTTATTTAGCGTATTTTCCAAATTTCAACTAAATATTTCAACTAAAATCATTTATTATTAAATCGTTTCATTTTCTTCTTCTATCACTTTTAAATTTTCCTAAATTATATTTAAAATATTAAAATTATTTTATATTATATCAAAGTATTATATTTAGAATCGTTGATATTGCATAAGAGCGTGAAGGGGGGAGAGGTTGAAGGGGAATAATTCAGTAGTAATAAGGACCCTAAAAATTTTTCAGAGGGAACAAATAATAAAATTTATGACAAAGTGATAAAATTTTGACCGAAAATAATTATCCTTTATTATGATCTACGCAATTAGATAGGAGTTTAATACAAAATAAATGAATAAAAAAAGATAAGGCGAAATGAATTTTTTAATATTTTTATAAAAAATAGGTTTTAGCGATGAGAAAATTTTACGCTTTGCGTTTTTTTCTTGAATTCTTAGTAGATTTATTAAAACTTTAGTGATTAAACTAATTAAATGGGTTAGCACGAATAATTTCTGACTCATTAGACTTGCTTCATCCAATTATTTGTACGTTTTCTGGCCAGAAAAATTTATTTGGCAATAGAAATACAAGTGCATCGACAGCGAAAATTGGATTTTTTAAAGATGGATTCCATTATAACAAAAATAGAGGTTATATATGAATATAAAAAATATTTGAAAATATCAAGTGCAAAAAAGTAAAAAATAAATTTCTCTATGCCACCAGGCAGATTAATAATTTCTGCCTAAATTACCTAACTAATTTATATTTTAAAACAATTTTCCCCATATTTTCCAGAAAAAGGCAATTATAATGTTGTGAATGTTTAGAATGATAATAATAAATAATATTGAAATTTATTAAAAAGCACAGAAATGCTTTGAATATTATCAATTATTATCATTAAATTGAAAAATTTATTGAAATTTAATGATGTAAAAATGCTAAAAAATTTCGAATAAAATCTTTTTATGATAATAAATTATAAAAATGGCAATAAATAGCATTGGATTTTATTGAGAATTTCGGCAAAAATTTGAATCTATTATCATTACTATGAGGACCTATCATTAGACTGAAAATTTTATAGAAATTTAATAATATAAAAATGCTAAAAAATTTCGATTTTTACGTTATCTATGGCATTTTTATGATAATAAGTGATAAAAATGATAGCAAATAGCATCAGATTTTATTACAAATTTTAGAATTCAGCATTCTATTTTAACATTCGGAATTTTAATTTATTATCAATTCTTATCACTAAATTGAAAAATGGATCGAGAAATAAATTCAATGGTGTGAAATACTAAAAAATTTCGATTAAAATCTTTTTTTCATGATATTTTTATTTTGTTCACCTCTAGAAACTCGTCAAATTGCGTGCGTCTTATTATTCTAATATTTTCATCAATTTCATTTTATTAATAATAAATCGACATTTATAAAATTTATAAATTTAAATTTATAAATTTTTACAAAACTTTATCGACATTTTGAAAAATTATTTCAATTTTGTTTACAACTTTTGCATTTGTATTCTTCTTCATCTCTTATCTTATTATCAATCGATTTATCAATAAAAATAATTTAATATTTTAAAAATCCTACTTAAAATGAATATTTCTAAAATTTTGTTTGATATTTTTCACGAAATAAAATTTTTTTTACAAAAACTTTAATGGTTTTTTAAATAAAACATTTGCATTTTACAATTTTAGCATTTTTGAGCAATAATTCGCCAATTCGCATATTCATATTCGGAGGAAATTATTCGTAGAGTCGGTATTGTTGCAATTAATTTTTCTAATTCACCCTAAAAATTTACGATTTAATTTAATTTTTATTTAAAATCAAATTAGATTTTAAGTAAATAAGAAATTTGGAATGAATAAAGCGACCTTTTTGAAAACATGGTAATACCGATAAAATGTAATATTCCGATATGTGCTTGCGACTTCTAATAAAACATCTTCGATGATTTGACTCGATAATTCGTAAGCAAATTGTTCTTCAATACTCATTGTTAAGGATTTTAAATTAAATCCTAAAATACATAGGAAATTAATATTTAAAAAAAAATAAATAAACGAATTACTAAATGACCAATCAACTGCCTAATTTATTTCTCATTATGATTTTTTATAGCCAAATCGCTAGCAAAATAGCAGAGAATAGTGGTCTGGATAGTCATTAAAATAGTTCTCCTTTTAAAGTGCGACTAAAATTCAAATAGGAAACAACACAAACTTAAATTTGGATTCCAGTTATTGATACCAGTGATTACGGAATTTAACATTAGATTAGCTGTATGAGAATCGAAAAGAGGGTAAGGAGGTGGAAGCGAGTGTGGCGAAGATGGAGAAATTGAGAGGAATTTTTCAGATTTAAATATCTTCCGGAATAATGAATTGATCCAGAGAATAAATGCTAATATATTATTGTTGATAATATTCTTCCTTCCGTTCAGATTAATCGAAACTGAATTCTATAAAGCAAAAGAATTTTAATTTTTGCAAGAAACTTCCTTTATATTAAAGAAATCAATTTACAAATAAAAATTTGACACTTTTATGGTTAAATTTTTAAATTCGAAAGAGAACCCCTCTTTACGACCTATTTTCCTCTTCTTGTTACAATTGCCTTTACATGATTCACTGGCCAAAAGATCTCATCCTATCAGACAAATAAGCCAGTCAAAATAGCAATCGTAGAAGATTTCATTTTGACAGCTAACAGCAAGAAACCGAATTATTCTTAATTATTTTTTGATCTATAAAAGTAAAAAGTGAAATAATTTCAAAATTTTTAAATAATTTTAAAAAAATTCAAAGTAAATAAATCAATGCGAATAGAAAATGGTACTTATGTAAATAAAGATGAAAGAAAAACCTGTATAATTCGTTGTTCTTGAGTGGAATTCATATGGAATTTCATAAGCGGTATTCGTCCTAAAAATTTAAAAATTTCAATCCAATTTAAGAGAGTTTTTAAATTAATTTAACTCAATTTAAAAAAAAAAAGAACTTAGAATGATATTGAATTTTAGAATTTCTCTGAATAAATCTGACACTTTCGTTTATTCGATTTATTCCATAAATAAAATTAAAATTTTTTATTTTTAAAATCCATAAAAATTATTCAAAATCGAAAAGATATAAATAAAAAACCAGAAATTATAGTTGCACTAAAAACTGGTAAGTAATTATTATTTATTAATAAAATTGAAAGAACGTTAATTGAATTTTTCCCATTCGAAATTTTATAAAAGAATGAAAAAAAAATTTCCCTATTTCCTATTTAATTCAAAAACGCTATAATGAATGATATATAATATTGTTTAAAATATTAAAATATTATAATTAATAATAATGACAGCAATAATATCGATAATGATAACAAATAATAATAGTTGTTAATGATAATAATGATAATAATAATGGTAATAATAATTATATTAATAACAATACTTGCCATTTGAAGGATTTTCATGCAAATACCATGGAACGAGAACATCTTGCGATGGGAATTCACCACAGGGTTGTTCAAATGCCCACACGTAAATCAGCAGCAGACCCCTTAATACCATATCAAATAAATATTCAGTTTTAAGTTTTTGCTCTCGAAAATAATAAAATAATAATTACCACCTAATATTTGAAGGTAAACCTTGAATTTTAAATTTTAAAAAGCTCATTTTAAGATTGCGAATTATGAAGCGAAATGGCTTAGTGGATTATTGTTCTCATTTTGAGTACCAATGCTGCACTCCCCGCAAAAATAAGCCTATTTTTCAAAAATCCCAGTGGCGCTGCTGATTCACTTGTACTTCCATTGTCAAGTGACTGACTAGTAAAATTTCGCTGGTTCAGTAAGATAAGTTAACTAAAAGCGATTTACGAGCACTTTTATAAAAAAACTCAAAAATTAAATTTTATCTTATAATTTAGTCGTTGAAATTGGAAATAAACGTATATTAGTATGTAAAAAATTAATGAGAATATTAGAACGGCATTTATTTATGTTGAAAAACTTTTACAAATTATAAAATTTATAAAATTGATTTGATTAAGTTTGAGAGATTTACCCAGGTGAAAGGCATCTTGCAACTTCATTTATGGAATCCCTACGACGTTTAGGTGTCGCCAAATGATGGATTATTGATACCATTAACGCGGCGTCTATACATTCATCTCTATTAACTTAAATTTATTAATGATATTACTTTATTTTATTTTATTTTTATTATTTTCTCTAATATTTTTTCTATTGCATTTCCTATTTTAAGAATATTTTCATACTTCCATTCACATTGTTTAATTATTCTTCTGAAAAAAAATTAACAAAATAAACAAAATCAAAATAATAATGAATTTCTAATTAAAATATATTTTTTTAAATTTTTTTGCATGATTTCATATTGATTTAATGTTGAAAATCTAAATTTTTAAATTTTTTGGTACAATTTAAAATTAAAAGTTTAAATTTAAATCGTTTTTTGTTAGAAAATTTTTGAAAAAATTAAAGGTCTGAATTTTTAAATTTTTCTTTACAATATAATATAGAAAATTAAAAATTTATATATTATTGGCTCTTCAACAATATTGGCCATAGAAAGGCCAAAAATTCATTACAATATTCATTAAATTACTAAAGAAATCAATGAAATCAATTAAAATTAAAGATAAAAATATTTGCGGGCACCGAGAATAAATTTACCTGTAAGGTAGGTGCAAAGTGTTCGCGAGGTGTACATCGGTATTCGCATGCCTATCAATATCTTGCAAGATTTCAGGACAAATATCACTTGCAAATAATAAGCCATCTTTTAAAAAGTATTTGCCTTGCCCGCATCCTTCAATAAAAACAAAAAGCAATTTAGTCCTTAAAAAATATTTACTCTCTTATAATATTGACTTAAAAAATTCCCATTATGAAAAAATCTTTTGAACACAATTTTTATAAGAATTCTTAAATCTTCAAAAATGCAATACATGCAAACTATACAAATAAGCCCAGCAACAAACCATAATTATGCATTTTTATCCTATTAAGTATTACTAATTTAAGAAAGAACCTTTCCCATATTCAATGAAATTGAAGCCATTATATTTTATCACTTAATTTTATTAAACTTTTATATTATTTATTAAATATTATTTATTCTTATTAAATTATAAATTATTTATTTTATTAAATTTTTATTATTTTTATAACTATTTTTTGCTGTTAAATGAAATTCTTTATGAAATATTTTAGTTGAAGGAAAAAAAATTTACTTACCAATGTCTAAAACAATAGATCCATAAGGCAGTGAATTTAGGAAATTTTGTACGAATTGCCACTTTCTTTTTTTATTTTTATTTTTTGCGAAGGAAGCTAATTTACGATATACATTATGCACATATTCTCTTTCTACATTCATTTTTTGTTCCTTAAATATTTAAATGTTTAAATTGAAATTTAAAAAAATACTTTATAAAATTTTATAAATTATAATGGATGAAGAAATACTATATAAAAAAGACATAAAAAATTAAAATATAAAAATATCAAAATTTAAAATTTATATTTGAAAGTTCAATGAAAAATAATTTTATTTTTATTTAAATTTTAGCATTAAATATTTTTTAAAAATATTAAATTTTATTAAATTTCAATATTTCATCAAAATATTTTCGAAAAACTGAAAAAATTAATCGAGAAATTTTTGTTTTGTATATTTATTTTATATATTATTTTAAATTAATTGGTGTAGAAATGAATGCGAATCGTTGAATCGTTGCGAAAGAAGCGTTAGAACATTACGAAGCGTCTAAATTTGGGTTCCATTCCCGACAAGAGTAAGCTTATAGTAAGTAACTTACTTGTGCTTCTATCGCCAAATAACTGCCTTCTGATAAAAATTTATCTGATCTGATAAAACAATGGAGCGACTAAGTGAATGAATGGACTTTAGACTTCAGAAAAAAAAAGAATTAATCAAATAATGCCGTGAAAAAGTTCTTATTAAAGTACGTTCACTTCGTTTATAATTGTCAATGCGAAAAAAAAACTAATAAATTATTTCGATATTTTATGGGATAAAAGAAAGATAAAAAATGCTTTTATCAGCAATTTATTAGTGGTTTTATTTAATATTTTTAATTTATGAAATTCGATGATTTTAGATTATTTTAATAAAAATTCTATTCGATATTTTTATTAAATTATATTTAAAAAATAATTAATAAGAATTGTCGAAGCAGAAGGCTCATTAAATCCATAAATTCATTACAATTTCAGTTATTCCACAATCGAAAATTTCCCCTTACGATCATTCATTTTGAGCAATTTCACTTAGCTTTATTTTGATAAAAATTATATAAATTTTAGTGATAAGCAATTTTAAAATGAAGTTTTATTCATTAAGATGAATTCGTATTAATCACATTCATTATCTAAAAAAATATTTATTAATATTTTTATCAGAGGGAAACTTTCTTTTCTAATGATAAAACGAAAAAATTCTTTCTATTAATAGAATAATTTAAAAGTTAAATCAATTACCGATTCTTATTCGGCTAACTGAATTGGCTGTTCGTACGGTTAAAAAATTTTATCAGAAAGTCGCTTGGAAATAAAGGAGTAGAAATGCACGGTGGATCTCTAGCAACAACTACACTCCTTTCATTTTGTTCACTCCTACTGCTCACTCGCGTAGAAGTGAAAAGAGCAAATCGTTGCCTTCCAACATGATATGAAAGTAACCTACTCTGTTATCCTGCCCCCCACCCCTCCCCCTATAAAATTATATATGATAAATAATAGTTGGAAATAAAAATGCAGAAAATTGATTTCGCTTGAATAATTCGCTAAAAAATCATCGAAATAATTTTAGAATAAATAAATGAGTTGATAATTGCTATTCACTTTCGAAATAACTCCAATTATCAATATCACTACTAAATTCTCTTTTCTAAAATTGTCATTGTCAAAAGTACTATTAAACTAATTAAATTTCAATGCTTTACTGATTTACTGAAATAATTCCTATTTTATGAAATAAAATGTATTTATATATAACTATGTAATTAGATGAAATGAAAATAGTTTAAATAATAATGGCAATAATAATAATGAAAAATAATAAATTATTTAATTTCTCGAAAACAACATTGCAACAACTAACAATTATCATTATAAATAGCAAAATTTCTGAGATAAATAAAAATAAATCCATTGGTGCAATGATGGTGCATTCTAATCTATATGAACTCTTTGATTCTGAGCCGTTTAGCAAAATTTTTCTGATCTGATAAACCAGCGAAGAGAGCTTCAAAAACCAGAAATGTTGAACGTTTCTCTATAGAAAAATAAATTTTGAAAAAATTTCATTCGAATCAATTCCAAAAAAAGAAAATCATCGTTATCAAATTCTTTCAATTTCAAATAATAAATAATAATAAAAATTTTAAAATTTCGAAAATTTAATATAATTTAAAATTATTCCTCGATTTTTTTAAGAAAATTTACTAAAAATTAAAAATCTTTCTCAAGAAAACAGAAAAAAAGAAGTGAGAAATATCGGAAAAAATTTAGAAAAATCGCTATCACATTATCATATCACAAAATTAAAAGATGGCAACTATCCGTATTTGCATTGTTATCATTTATTATTTATCAATAAAGTGCAAAACGAATATTTCAACATCGTGCAAGTACCACCTATCAATTGTTCGTCCACTTTAATTTAGAATTTATGGACTCAATAATCTAACTTTACTCATTCTCCACTGACTTTACCAATCTTAATTAACTTGACAAATTTTCATATCCGATTTTATACGTTCAATAATTCATTAATGAAGCAAAACGATGAAATCTTTCCTTCTTTGCGTTCTCATTAAAATATTTCATTAATTCATTATCGACAACTTTTTTTAAAATAATTTATTTGAAATAATTTGGAAATTTTCCATTTTTTCCGAAAAAAATAAAATAATAAAAATTAATTAAAATGAAAAAAAAGATTTATAACCAAATAAAAATAGAAATGGAAATAATACAACAAACATTAAACATTAAAAATTACAAAATTTACAGATAAATTTTTCGTTAAAGAAAAATTTTTTTTTAGTAAAAAAGAAAAATAAAAATAAATATTCGCTAACAATTGCAAAAATATTAAAACACTATTCGAAATCGATAGAAATCGATCAATAAAAATTAAAAATTCTAATATAATGTGCAAAAAATTTTGATGATATTTTATTACTGATTGAAGAAAAAAAATTTGCAACGATCTATGTGGAGCATTTATTACTGCCTTTATTGTAAGGTCGCTACGGCCCATTGGGTTTTTCATGGTTTGTTGAGATCGGACGCTATCGTTATGCATCGTTATTCATTATTTTATGTCGCTTTATCACCATTTCACCTTATCACCACTTCCTATTGATTTGCCATATTATTTATTAATTAATATTTAATTTTAATGCTTATTCGTCCTGATCAGACATTTTCTATAGTGCAGACAGAATATTTCATTCTTAGGCGATTCCCGATATTTATAAATATTTTACTCTAACAAACTTCTAAAAACTTCTACAACATATTTCATAAAATATTATAGGATTAGAAAACGAATCAATAAGGCTCAAATATAAATTAGAAATACTAAATGTAAAGAAAAATAATCCTAAAAGACCATAAAAATAAATTTGAACTTTAAAAATGATTACAAAATTAAAATGATCATTTGGTCGCAACTAAAACATAGATTTCTACAATTTTATATAAATTGAAATTTTGCAGGTTACTAAAATATAAAGAAACTATTATTAATTTTCAAATAAAATATTCTCCTTTAACAACTCTCACCATTGCTCGTTAGGTTGGCTACAAGGGTAAAACGTCTCCAAGCTATTCGATCCGATGCCATTCGTCGACGGCCATTCCTTTTTCTATAGTTTAATCCCATATATATTTGATCCAACATATGTTAAAAATTTTTTTCGTATGAAAATTTTAAAATTTTAAAATTTTAAAAATTTTATTAGTCTAGGTGTTGATTAACTCTCCTAATTTTTCACGTTATCAATCACACGAAGGCGAACGGAAATGTGAGAGCGACACAGAATGCGCCTTAACCAGCGAAAGCAATGCTCTATGATGATGAGAGGTAATATTTGAACAAAGACTGGACCAATCATGCAAGATTTTATTAGCTCGGACCGAAGTGTCTTTAAATCTCAGATATGAAAATTTTAATAGAATAATGATAAAAAAGTGAAGTGGCAATTAGCACTCTTAATATACTCCATCCTCCCATGTCTTGCAGCCATATACCACGATCAAGCGAATCGGAACTATTTGATGGCAATGGCTCTATAAAGCTTTCGCTAGTCAGAAGAACTATCGTTATCCGGCAATTTCACCTTTCATCTTGGATTAGAGTGGATCTAAAATATTTAAAACCACTAGCGCAACAGGCGATGAACTGATAAAAATAGGTATTTAATTAATCTTTGGTATACAAAATGAATGGATCAGTGGATTGTTGCTCGATTAGGAGCGCCGATGCTGAGGTTCAATTCTCCGCAGGGATAAACCTGTGAAAAAATATAGGTAATGCTATTAATTCTACCTGTATTTCTACCGCTAAGGGATTCCCTGGCATATTGCCTAATGTAACAATCCAGTGGAGCGAGTTTAACCAGTAATGGTGAAGACCCTTAAAAAAAATGAAAAGGCTTTCGTTTTATATTGATCCTGAGCCCAATTCTCGCTGCAGATGTTGACATGTTTAGCACTATTTATATATGTCAAATAAAATATTAGCAAACTAATAATTCAAAAAGGAACACAGGTTAAACCGATTGCTTTCTGAAGCATTATTAATTTTTATCGCCTTGTAACTGTACATCTTCGTTATTCGAATCATCCAGTGAATTAATTTTATTTATTTTCGTGACCTTCGAATAACCTCCATCGCTTTTTATTAATTGAAATAAATAATCTATTTCCTGCAAAAAATGACTAAAAAATAAAAAATTTATTTTGTTTACGTATTTTTTGAAGAAAAGATTACAAAAGAAGACATCTGCTGAAAAATACAAGTGAACTACAGCTTGAAAAATTATAAAAATTTCGAACCATTTCGCGCGAACGACTTTTATCAATAACAAACTGAATATGAGGAACGGTGCAATGACAGAGAGCTTCAGAAAGATTTTTTTCTAACCGATAACGCGACTTTTCTAAAAGCTCAATCGTATCCTAAAATCTATATTTTCCTTAATATTTATGCCTTTAGTTTGTAAAAATAATAAACAAAATAGATTATTAAAACAAAAAATTTTGAAAGACGGGTTCTTGCAATTATTTTAAGACGAAATAAAAAATTGAGATGAAATATTTTCTTTATATCTTGATTGTAAACTAAATTCAAATTCAAAAAAATCAAAATTCTGCCTTATCACTTTCATCGCCTTGTTCTACCCAATGTATTTTCATTGTTAAAAAATTTGGTGCAAGATCAATCTAAAAATATATTCTAAAAATTACTTATTATTTTAAAAATTATTATAAAAATTAATAATTTATATTTAAATATTATAATTTTTGTTTCCATTTTCTTTTTTCTTCAAATAACTTGTACCACTATTGATAAGTTGGTTCTTTAGCTACAGAAATAATGGTCAAGCCTCTTGATCCAGTGTCATATTTAAAATAGAAGCTCCTTCTTTAGTTCGTCTGAACCCAAACATTGCTGAACTGCCTATTAAACCCGTTTAAGATGTTTCTAATCTGCCTCTTTATTAAATTGATCACTTTGTTTCGACTATTAATCATCCAAAGCATTATGGTTCGACTTTTGCCCTAACAGGAGTAACTTGAATCCATAAAATTAATGTCGGCCTAGTGAACCACGCTTTAATCTTAATGTCAGCTTTCATCTTAATGCCAGTTAAACTGAATCATCCTATCTATATATTACCTCAATCGATTAATCCACAGGCTAGGCCTAACCAGAAAGCACAAATAGTTAAAGTTCTACTACTTTTCTTCATCAATATTTAGTATTCAAAATTTGTTATTCAAAAGATTTTAAAACATAATTTCGAATAAAAAAGATTTCTATAAAAAAGGTATAATGAAAAAAGAAAAGCAAAAAAATAAATAAAAAGTAAATTAAGGATAAATTAAAAAACAATAAACGAATAAAAGATAAACTTTGCTAAATTCTAATTTTTTTCCGCTGAGTTCACTATCCATTACAATGATATTCATCAAATGTTCCATAAATAAAGTTTGCAGTTTTTGACGTTTTCTTTCACTCAAAATGCGAGATTTATATCTACTGGCCGACGATAATAATAAATTCTGTAAAGATTTTCTTGCAATTAAAGCATAAATTAAAACAAAAACTAAAAAAAAGATATAATTAATAAATAAAAAAGTATAAAAAATATATAACAAAATAATGAAACAAAACAGTGCAAAATTCTTGACGGTCACCATGATTTTAAAGATAAAATCGAAGTATCTTATAAAAGAACAAAAAAACGAAAATTTCAATAATCGAATGTTTTATTTTCAATTTTTATATGAAAATTGTTTATTCAAAGAGAAAAGAATAACAAACATAAATTTATTGAAAAATTTCTCCTAAATCCATTTAAATGACAAATAATTAAATTAAAATTAAGCATTTTTTCAAAAATAGATTTAAACAAACCAAGTCGGAAAGACCGAGGTTTATTCCCAGTTTTTTTCCTGTATACCTCGTGAAAACTTTCATTTTAGAATTTTCAAATTTAAGTCGATGACGATAAAGAAATTCTGACGATGAACCACGACCCGTTTTGTATCGCTGATGATTTGATATGCAAATGTCGATGACTGATAAAAATCGTAGATTAATTTTCGGTGCGAATAATTTGCTATTTAAGGAAGAGATCAACATTTCTCGTTTAACTGATAAACTTTCGACGTATTCTCTGGAATCTGAAATTAAATTAAGTAAAAAGTAAAGTAAATTAAGTAAAAAATAGCAAATTTGTTATAAAAATATAAAAATAATATATATATATATATAATAGTGACAATTATATTGATAAATTTCTTCTTCGTCTCTCTTTCATTTAATAAGACGTAAGTAAATCGTAAAACAATAAATGGAGATAAAATGGACCAGCGATTTTTTGCTTTCATTTCAGAATAATGATATATATTCGGATTCACGAGTCTCTCGGCATGAAAAAATCTCTCCTATAAAAGGTGCGTGGTGCTTACAACCTAATTGCATGTACATCGGTCGGCAAGGCGAGTGATTCGCTGAAGAAACCTCTCGAAATGCGGCATCTCTCAGATTAATACGGATATGCATTCAGCGCCTTCTTCAGAGTGAGCTGGTTTTATCATCACAGAGATACCAAATGAACTCGAACCAACTTATGTAAATACTAATGCCACTAATTTCGACAACACTGATGATCGTCCATATTTTGCAAAACAATTCACCAAAATAAAACTATATATATATATATAAAAACTAACCTTTAAAATATGTCGAAATCTCCGATTTCGGTGATATCAAATTTTTTTTACGCGGAAATTTTTTCGCGATAAACCAGTCGAGAGTTTTTGAAAATCTTTTAAAAACCGGCAAAAAAAAAGATTAATCATTGCCAACTAGGAAATAAAACAAGTGATAAACGACTCGTTTTTTTCAGAAAATATAACCCCATAAGACCCTTGGCAAAAAACTTTCCCAACATTAATCGCCGTACATATTTTACATGATCGGTTCAAAGGTCAAAGGTCTAATAAGTTCGAGAATATTGGAGAAACTATAAATCTAACCCCTAAATAATGCACAACTCTTATTACACCACTTCTCATTAGAAAAAATGCTGAAGCCGATGTTTAACAATCGCTAAGAATCAGATTGCTGCTTGTGCCATTAGAAATTTTCGTTCATTGGGCAAGCGAGTGTGTTAGTAGGATTACTTGGGATTTATTGTAGGGTAGGTCTGCTCCAGTGAAGTTGATGGTACCAATCGAGTTTTTAAGATATATTTGCTCGCGTAGACTGCAGGACTTTCCATTTTTGCCATTTACAAATAACCAACCCAAAATGTATGCTATCCTACTGTTTGAAAGTAATTGTGTACATTTCCCTTGTATTATGGGTGATAAGGTGATAAGGGAAAATTCACGTGAGAAAAGGGGGAACCTGTAATCCTATGGAAGTTAATAACATGAAAATTTTTTTTGAAGAGCCCCTACCATTGCTGATTAAACTCGCTCCACTGGCTCGTCGCATTTGGCAATATGCCAGGGAGTCCCTTGGCGATAGAAATACAGGTGAGTCGCCAGCATCACCCAGATTTTTGCACAGGTTTACTCCTGCGGGGAATCGAACCTCAGCATCAGCGCTCTCAATTGAGCAACAACCCACTGAGCCACTCTATTCTCCCCAATCGTGAAAATTGCATTAAATACAATTAAATGCAATTTTAAGTTCTAAGTAATAATTACTTTACAATTCTAATGTAAAAACTGTATCGATGAAATAGGTACAGTTAGTTGTTTTTTTGTGATGTAATTATTTATTGTTGTGTAATTTTATCGAAATTTACATTAGCATAAATTTGCAATGTAATTTTGAATAATTCAATTCTACTACACGCAGTAATAAATAATATTTTAATATTTCAATAAACAATAATAATAATTAAAATTAGCAATAATAACAATGATAATGATGATAACAGTAATAATAATAAATAGATATATTAGTGATAACAATGAAATGTTAATAATAATATTAATAAATAATAATAATGATGATGATTAATAATAATAAAAAATAATAATAAAATAATAATAAAATAATAATAACAATAATGAAAAAAATAATAAAAAATAACAATAAAAAATAATAACAAATAGATAATGATAATAATAGTGATAGTAATAGTGATAATAATAATGATAATAATAATAATGATAATAATAATAATGAAAAAGTAATGATAATTGTATAAATACTAGAAAATACTAGAAAATAAAATCTGTAGATAATATAAAGTTTAAAATAATTTTGTTTTATTATTTTTAACCAATTGATTCTTTGGTTTAAGAACGGATTAATCGTGGTTAATCATCACGATTTTCTTCGACAATTATAAAAGCAGACTTGGAAAGTTGAATAAATTTGTATCATATATATATATATATTTATGCAAATTAGCAAATATTAATCTCTTAATTTTGAAAAATTATTATAAAATATTTATATTTGTTAAAACTTTAGTAAAGAGGAATTATATTTCGAGAACAATGATAATACAAAAAGCAAATAATAATGCAAAATTAGGAATTAAATTTAAAAAATGCAAAAATAGATAAATAATTAATATTTTTATATTTTCTGATATTATATAAATTATGAATTTTATGCAAAAATTAAATGCCTTTGAGAAATGAGCCATAGGAATCTGAATCCGGTCGACTCATTGCTCTTCGTCGATCGGCAGATCTGTGGCCTAACGGCGAAAGCAGAAAAGAGTAGGAGTAGATTGGCTCAATGGGTTGTTGCTCAACTCGGAGGGCAAATGCTGACTTTCTACTCCCCTTAGAAGTAAATCTCTCCAAAAATCCGAGTGATGCTGGTGGCTCAACTATACTTCTATCGCTAAGGGGCATATTTGTTTAGTTAGTCTATAATGGTAAGTGCTCTTAAAAATCTTTAAAAAACTAGTGATAATAATAATAAGTAATGATAACAGTGGTAAATATTAATGACAGCGATAAACAAAGTAATAATAATGATAATTATTAATAATGATTAATAATTACGATAATAATGGTTAATGATAAATATTGATAAATAATAATCAAAAATAATAGTGACAAAATATAATATTAGATAACAATAAAATGATAATGATAAATAACATTGATTAATGATAATCGGGCCTACACAAAATGGTCTTGTCACAAAAAACTTGCCGACAGGTGCTTTGTTTTATCATCTTTATCATCGTATTTATGCATTTTGGATTAATAAACTAAAATTTTTTTTTCTTGCTCAAATAAATGGTTACAACTTTTTTATTTTGATTATTATTTACCATTTATAACATTGTTTATCTAATATTAAATATTATTAGTATTTTAGCAAAATAACAAAAAGTTTCGATGTAAATGATTTATAGGAAATAAATTTCCAAAGAATAAATATTTATTTTTTAAGAAAAATTTATTTATTTATTTTTTCTGAGAGTGTTTACCATTGGTGGTTGCGCTATCGGACTGGGGAAATTTTTGCCAGGTATTCGTGTGACGATTCGAAGCATAAGTAAATCGCCAGCATCACTCGGATTTTTTTACAAATTTGCTCTAATGTTAATATAATGTTATATCGCTGAGCAGTTATATCCTTCTTTGCTTTCGCTATTCGATAACGAAACGTGAAGCGTCGTCGATCGGATTCGCTTACTAGTCGTTCTCGTGGCTCGAAACTATCATATCATATCACTTGGTCATCGACCCAAATTTATATTTATTATTTAAATTGGAAAATGCTGAATTATAAAAGTAACAATAAGCAAAATCAAAAATTATCTGAAAGTTTTAAAATTCAAAAATTCCTTTTTTTTCTACTTTTTTTGGTTTTTTTTTATTTGAAAAATCACTTTAAATTCATATGTGATAAAGCAATTTTTTCAGAGTTGTTTTATTATTTAGCAATTTTTCCATTTTTATTTACTTTTATCTAATATTATTTGAAATTTTGTTGTATGGGAGATTGTAAATATATTGTAAATTAAATTATTTTTGAAAATTAGTTATTTGCAATTATTTCCATTTCATTATTATAATTTGATATAATTTAACCCTATTAATAATTATTTAGTACAATTTATTTATTATTACTTATTATTTGCAGCATATTTTATAATGACAAAATATTTTAAATAATTAATTAAAATTAATAAATCGTGGATTGATAGAGTTGAAAAAAAATTTTGAATATATAGACGGCCTAGCGTTGTACTTACACTGGGACATGGTGCGAAAAGAAGTGATTTCTGTTATTCTGCTAAACGTGGCATCTTGGATTGAGCGACTTGGAAAAAACTTATCAGTGCAACCAGCCTAACAAGTAATTGTGCGAAGTGTTAGAAGAAAAGGTGGAAATAAAAAATTTTTATCATATTGTAAGTATTTTTTTTGTTATTATTGTTCCCATTGTTACAAATATATTTTTTCAAATTAATGAATTTCATTAACAATAATTCATTAAAAAATTATAGTAATTAAATTATTTCGAACAAACATTTCAACAAGAAAAGAGAGATTCAGTATAAAATCTTTTAAAAAAAAAAAACTAATGAAAGTTGTAAAAGAATATTTTAAATAAAAATATAAATATAAAATAAGCATATTTCTATTATTCGATTAAATTATTTTCCACGAAAAAATAATTAATTCATTCCAAATAAATTTAACAGAAATTGACAAAAAAAAAATTTACATAATTTATTACATAAATTATTAAATTGCATTATTGAATTGTTAATTATTTAAATTTGCATAAATACATAAATTATTGGAAAAAAATTAGATTTTAATAAAAATAGGAGGAATATTATTACTTTTATTTTTATTGTTATAAACTGTAGATGAATTTTCACGAAAGATGAAATGTAGAAACGATGGAAGTACGTGCTTTAAAGAATTTCGAATATCGACTTGACGATTCGTAAAAATAATTATACTAGCGATTGGATTAAGGCGACAACTTATCGCCGCATAGATTGTTGAAATTTGTCCAATAGTCGAATCTTTTAGTATATAATGACAAATATATTTTAAACAATTTGGCAAAATATAAAGTACAATAGTGAATATGCATGAAATACCAATTGTGATTGTAAGTTTTCGTTGGCGTTTCTCAAATACGACTAACGACAATAATTTTGCCTAAAAGTAATTATTTTTTATAAAAAAATAAGAATGCAATAATTAAAAAGTAAGTAATAATGATGTTCTGAAAATTTAACACAGCACTATTCTTTTTCTAATCACCATTACTGGTTAAATTAACTCCGCTGGATTCTGAAATCAGTGAGAAATCAGTGAAATCAGTGAGAAGTCTCCAAACTATTCGGTCCGACGTTAATGTTAATAGAAGCCATTCCTTTTTCCATCGCCTAAGTCCATATATCGCTGGTCCGCCTATATTTTCAAATTTTTCTTGACCGTGTCAGTCCAGCTCTTGACTGGACCATCTCGCTTTTGACACCACCCACCACAGAATTTAGCAAGTAACGAAATATGTGTCAACTCTTGTGATGCGCGATAAAGAACTAAGCA